CACTACTTCTGTCCTCTACAAGCATCTTTTCTTGGCTCTGTTTTCTTCATGGTTTCAAGAAGTCCCTTAGGCTTATATCTTCTCACCATGGGCTCTCTTCTTTTTTCTTTATCTTCTCACTTGTTTGAACTTCTAATTGACTGAGGAAATGAAGTTTGTGTTCTGATAGGACCTGTATCCAGGACCTCTTCTGAGCCAGTCAAAAAATAGCTCCCTTTGGACCACGTTAGGGCCAGAATGGGAGCAGGATCTCCAAAAGGCTTTCCACATACTGCTCTGGAAGAAACAGCACAAATGGGTGGCTTTAAGAACCAGCACGCGATTTCCCCACAGTTCTGGAAACTAAAAGTCCTAGTCAAGATTGTGCTGCTTCCTGTCTTGTATGTAGTTCCAGGCGTTCTGTGATTCCTTGTTTATAGGTGATTCTCAGGTTGTATGTATCTCAACGTCCATTTTGCTCTTTTTATAACTCAGAAATGATTAGGTTTAAAATCCACTCTACGCTGGTTTGTTCTCAATGTATAGATTATTTCTCATTATGGAATGTGATTGCATTGCATTGCTTTAGATGCAAGACCATTACATTGCATTATATCACATCCACAGGTGAGTTAGTGGAGTTAGAATGAGAATTTCAGCATATGAGGGGCCTTTAAAAGTTTGTGGGACCAAGGCAAGAAGTGACTGGCTTACAAGCTTTCAAGAGGGAGCCTAGATCCAGAGAGCGCAGAGGAAGGTAGAATCTCCACTGAGTAGTATCCAATCTGTCTGGATTGGATGAAAGGAGATGGGGATAGGTGTCTTGTGATAAAATAGTGAATAATTGTTATCAGGACTGACTGTGAAGATTGGAAATGTAAAGGTAGACGTTTTGTAGCAAAAGGAGGGGCGTGATAGACTTTGCAGTCTAGGAGAAGTCACTGGGACCATCAAGGGAGAAGAGCGGAGAGCGGGACCCTACCCAGAGAAGCAGTGATGCCAGAGATGGAGGCAGAGACGATGATGTGGAGAGATGGAGTGGCTAGGGACTCTAGACCCAGAGAGGGAGAGGGGCTGTGTGCTGACGACCGGGGGACAGACTTGTAGGGTATACCCTTTGGTTGGTTGTTGATGCATGGAGGGGATTATAACCATGGCAATGAAATGATAAGCAATAGGATGAATGTAAAACTAATGTTCTTCCATGTAAACTATCACATAATTCACAATAAAACATTAAAAAAAAAAGTTTCGGGAAAATTCTGTTATCTTTTCATTCCATTTTTCCTTGAACGTTTTGAAGTCCCGTCCCATCTTTCAGTCATGGTGGGTGGTAGGTATACAATTCATCCCAGAAGAGTAGAGTTCCGTGATAGTAAATGAAAAGACTGGGTAGATGAAGCAATGAATGTATAATGAAAGAAACATTTCTCTTGTTTTCTCACCTCCATAATACCCTAAACTGATCTTGCATTTGTCTTCTTTATCCTTTCCCAGGCGCCTGAGACCCCATACTTTTGTTTCTGGCCCTGTTCTTTCATCTACCCTTCCTTGACACCTCTGTCTTGTCTTCATCTTACCCAGGTCAGAGCGTCATTGCCACTGTTCCATCAGCCCCAGAGAATGATGGTTCAGAAGACATTCCTGGAGTGGAAAGGAATAACCTTTCTGCCTCTTCATATTGCAAAGCTCAAAATCTTCTTGGACTAAGTCCAGATTCCTGTTTCTTCTCCTACAGAGCAGTCAGACCTTTGCATTTGTTTGTAGAATGATGACTGAGACTACCACCGTGTCTTGAAATTCATTATTAATGTCACTCTTGCCAACAAACTGCTAACTGTATGCATATTCTTCCATGTTTCCCTTGATATTTTCTTACTCATTTTCCAGAAAGAGGCTATTTCTTGGAATCTTGTCATCGCTATTTTTATAATATGAAAATGGATTGCCTATATAAAAGGCATAAGTTGTTAAAGCACCAGGATATTGACTAAAATATGAGGGAAAAGGTGAGACTAATGGAAGAGAAGAAAGAACGAACTTGGGAGGATATCTTTTATTGTTTATTTTGTTCTGCGTTGAATATGAATCCATCAAGTTGGGAGTTTTTGTTGTTTAGCCGATCTACAAACCCTTAGAAGTCACCTTAGTGTGTATGGTCACTGTCTTTTCTTCCCATTTACACTAGTGGCTGGCTGTTTACCTCCAGGAGGCAAGCAGATCAGATAGTGGCTGGAACTCGGTCTCCGGGTCTACTCTGAAGGCTTGTGCATTGTGTGGGAGCTAAGGAACACCCATGCCAGTTTCATACTTTTATTTGCAAAAAGAATAAACAAAAGTGCTTTCATTTTTGATTTATAATAATTAAACATTGTTGTGAAGTGCCGTTGAGTTAGATCCAATTCATAGCAACCCTCTAAAGAGTTTTCACAGAGTAGCTGGTGGATTTGAACCACCAACCTTTTGGTTAGCAGTCCTTGCTTATTCTACAGCCCCACACCAGGATTCCATAGTTAAACGTGGGTGGTATGAATTCAATATTTATAAGAAAGAATGATCTGAAAAGTCTTACTAATCCTTACCTGTCAACTTAGCCTGGATTTTGAAGCACCATTGAATGGAATGTTTATTTTCTAATTTTTCTTGGAATTCTTAACTGGCAATCAGGGTTCATCTGTGTTCATCTGTGGAGCATTCAGCTATCCTGATACCCCAAAACCTTTTAACTGACAATCAGGGTTCATCTGTGTTCATCTGTGGAGCATTCAGCTATCCTGATACCCCAAAACCTTTTAAAGGACTTTTCCCACAGCTGTAGTTTTTAAGTGGCAAAGAGACTTTTATCTCATTACTTTTTGTGTTAAGGACAAAGAACACGTTCTTTTATTTTTCATTACAGAGCCTTGCAGCTCATGAGACAGAAAAGAAAAAAATGAGGCTTAATGAATAGATTCATACTCCTTGAAAGGAAGGGTAGCATTCACTTTTCCTCTCTACGTTGTGAGGCTGTAGAGAGACTGAGGTTCCCTGAGGTAGCAGTGGTTTGTTTGGTCCATGCAATGCCGTCTTGCATGTTGTTTAAAAGATGTGTATTTAATTCGTTGCCACCGTTTAATCAGTGGAGTTGAAATGAAAATGTCCAGTTTTTCTGGTCAGTTGGGACACCTGGTAAGCCAGCCGGGGCCTCATCAGCTGGAGCTGCTCCCCTCCTGGACCGTGCCCACCCCTCAGTGCCTCCCTGTTCCCTCATGCCTTCCTAAGACTGAAACCTGGTGCTGTGCTCTTGGTCTTCCTAACTACACGACTGCTTTCCTTGTTGTTGTTGTTGTTGTTAAGTGCCGTCGAGTCGGTTCTGACCCATAGCGACCCTGTACAGGGTTAATACTTTTCTGTCTTACGTCTCCATGAAAACAGGAAATAAATAATCAAGTGGACTAGTTTTTATGATAATGACTCATTTGACCAATTTTCTTACTGCTGGCCCCCCCCCCATAAGCTTTTAAATTCATAGTCTTAGAGGAAGGAGACCCCCTCCATGGACCCTTTTGTCTCCACTTGATTCATTGAGCTGGAATCTAGTGTAATTGGAGCCTTCTTTCAGTCATTTTCTGATAGTGGAACGTACTGACTTTCCCATAAGAGTTTCTTAGTATGCCTTCCTCAGCAAACCAGTATTTTCCCCCGGGGGGTGGGGGTGGGAATTAATGAGATATCTAAATATTGATGTCAAATTGCTTTGAATTCATCCAGTCAGGTTTTCAACTTTCAGTTTTATTTTTATTCTTACCGCCTTGTCTTTGCACTTTGCAAGCATCATTTGCTTCAGTCACGTAGGTGAGTGTATCCAAAATTCAGATGCCCACCGTATACTCAAGGAAGAAGAAACGGTGTGCATAAAGCAAACACCAGCCCAGTTGCTGTTGAGTAAACTCTGACTTGCAGCAACCCATGAGATTTAGAACTGAACTGTGCTTCTTGTGTTTCTCAGTGAGTGCTTTTCCAAAGTCAGATTGCGAGGTCGTTTTCTAAGGTACCCCTGAGTGGACTTGAACTGTCAGCTTTCGACTTAGCAGCTAAACACATTCACAGTATGTACCTCTCAGAGACTCCAGTTGAATGCCTTGTTATTGTTGTTGTTGCTAAGTGCCCTCCAATTGGTTCCAATTCATAGAAACACATTCTGAGGAGTGGCTGGTGGGTTTGAACCGCCGACCCTGCAGTTAGCTGCCCAGTGCTGATCCTCCAGCCCCTCACCAGGACATCTGTATTTTGGCAATGAATGGCATCAATTAGGCTGAAAAGAAAGTAATGGTAGTTGTCACTTGGTCTTAGTTTTTGAAAGACAGCAGAGAAGTTGGTTGCAAACTGGAGTGTGGGTGTCCTGTCGAAGGGTCTGCAAATCATCAGCTTCCATCAGCTGTTGCTACAAGTCTCCTTTTTTTGCTGGCCAAGTAGTAGAATGGCCAATTCTGTGCCAGAGACCTGGGTATGATTCCCAGCCAGCGCGCTACGTGTGCAGCCACCGCTAGTCTGTTGTTGGAGGCTGGCATGTTGCGATGGCGCTCAACAGTGTTCGGTGGAGCTTCCAGACTAAGACTAAGAAGAAAGGCCAGGTGATCTACTTTGAGAATTCTCCAGTGAAAGCCCAGTGGATTGTGATTCATGCCACACCCAGTTATGGGGGTGGAGCAAAGGCTGGCATCATTTCCTTCCCTTGTGTTTAGGGTCGCCATGAGTCAGGGATCGATTTGATGGCGGAGTTGTGGTATGGCACTGTAGGATAAACATTGGACCCGCTCCTCAGAAACCCTATACAGGATCATTATAAGTCGGAACCAACTCGCCTACACTTAACAGCAACAACAGCAGTGCTTAGTACTTCCATATGACCTCTCCTTTGAAGTAAGGATGTGCAGTACCTGGGTAATATTTGTAACCACGTGTTTTCTTTGTTATCCCACAACATGCTTAAGACTGTACCTGTCTCCTACTTATTTCTTTCTTTTCTTATTCTCCATCAGGTGGCAGCAGACGTCCAAATCTTCAGGCTTGTCCAGCAATTTACAGCCTGTGGGTGCCAAAGCTGATGCCCTCAGGGAAGAAATGGAGGAGGCTGCCAACAGAATGGAGATTTGCAGGGTACCCGCTTTCTTTGCTCCTCTGTTAGGACAGGATAGGGAGCCATGAAGGAGTCCCGTGAAAACTCTGTTACCGATCCTCAGGTGGAGCCAAGTGTTCCCAGGCTTGCCCATGGGCTTCTCCAAAGAGCCCAGGGTGGTCCTAAAGAACTGGGCTCTGACGGTGACCTAGACAAGGAGGTAGCAGTTGATTTGTCCTTGATATTCCTAGATGGTCGGTGAAGAGGGAAGTACTCTTGCGTCTCTGCTTTTGTATGTCATCTGAGTCCCCAGTAGTAAATTCTAGACCACCTCAGGCAGTTGAAAATATAGCTAATTAATTGAGAGTACATTGTTTATCTTCTTGTGACCCTTTTAATATTTCTTGAGTCACCTTAGCATTCCTTTGCCTCAGGGAAGACACTTTTCTTTGAAGGTGAAGACATTTTTCATTGAGATTCATAGCCAAGGAAACTTCTTTTGTTGTTTTTTTCAAGACAGGAGAGCATCATTCAAAGAATTGGAAAGGCATCCCTTCATAGAATGATTACCCTTTAGTACACTTGTTCAAATGCTTCCTGTTGACTCTCCTACAAACATTTGTATAGGACTTAATTAACAATGCACCATACATGCCACTCTGTGTATATGTGTTCTCTGTACAGTTGACCCTTGGACAAGGTGGGGAACTTTAAGGGTCCACTTAGATGACGTGGGTTTTCTGTTAAACTGCTTTGTGACGCTAGTCATGTCCACGTGAGCAGCTCATCATGCCACCGAATTGGATTTCGCAGCAAAAAGTGAGCTCTTGCTCTCTTGCCTATCCCTCTTCATGTTTAGCGCAGTACTGGGAGACTTGAGTATCACCATGGGACCTATAAGAAGTGACACTAGGGATGCTGGAATTGTTCCCAAGAAACAGAGAACAGGCATGACGTTACAAGAGAAAGCTGAATTGTTCAGTGTGTACTGTAGATTGAGGTTCGCAGCTGCTGTGGCTGCTATTTCAAGATAAATAAATCTTCTTAAGGACCATTGTCAGGACCAGTCAATGACATCATGATGCATGGAGAAAATATTGAAGTTGTCGAAGACTCCATTTTGCTTGGATCCACAATCTGCCCTCATGAAAGCAGCAGTCAAGAAATAAATAGGTATCTCTTACCTACTCAGCGCAGCTATGACTCATGGTCCCAAGAAGCATCTTGAGCATGAGCTACCCCACAGCATTGAATGCTGGACAAACTGACTAGTGTGTTTATTCCTCAGTCCCCACAAGTTGAGAGAATGCCTCCCACTGATCATTTTCTAAGGAACAGACTTAAGTATGCTCTAAGAGTAGATGAGATTAAAAAGATCTGCATGCAGCAGTTCATTAAGATTGATGGCAAAGTCCGAACTGATACAACCTCTCTTGCTGGTTGTATGGATGTCATCAGCATTGACAAAACCGGAGGAGAATTTCCGTCTGGTCTGTGACACCAAGAGGCGATTTCATGTTCATCGTATTAAACCTGAGGAGGTGAAGTACATGCTGTGCAAAGTAAGAAAGATCTTTGTGGGCCCAAAAGGAATCCCCCATCTGGTGACCCATGGTGCTCACACCACATGCTACCCTGAGGGCTCATTGAGGTGTATGATACTATTCAGATTGACTTGCAGCTGGAAAGATGACTGATTTCATCAAGGTTGACACTGGCCATGTATGCATGATGACTGAAGTACCAACCTGGGAAGAACTGGTGAGATCGTTAACACAGAGAGACATCCTGGTTCATGGGAAAGATGTCATTGGCAACAGCTTTACCATCTGACTTTCCATCATTTGCTTCCATCCAAGGTAGCAAACCATGGATTCCTCTTCCCTGAGGAAAAGGTATCCATCCACCTTACCATTGCTGCCATTACCATTGCTGCCAAGCAGAGCAGTGGGTGAAATGCTTTCTAGGTGATGTGAGTGAACAGATCTTTGAATTATTAAAGATACTTGTTGTTGTTGTTGTTAACTGCCATTGAGTCGGTTCCGACCCATAGCGACCCTGTACAGGGTTTCCGAGGGTGTAAATCTTTATGGGAGTAGAAAGCCTCATCTTTCTCCCACGGAGCAGCTGGTAGTTTCGAACCACTGACCTTAAGGTTCGCAGCCCGATTCGTAACCACTACGCTATTAAGATACTAAGCAAGTCAGAATTTACACACAGATTTTCAACTGCATGGTGGGTTGAGCCCCCGCCCCCAACCACCATGTTGTTGAAGGGTCAACCGTACATTTTTATGTTTCTCAAGAAGCTAACGCTTTATTTAGCTCCAGGGAACAAAGATACCTTATTTTTGTTACTGCTTTGGATACCTCTTGGCCTAATTATGTCCAGTTTTAGAGGGGTGTCCCTGGATGCTATGAAAGAGTTAACCTGCTCAGCTGCTCACAGAAGATTGATGGTTCAAGTCTACCTCAAGGTGCCTCAGAAAAAAAAAAAAATGCCTGGAGGTCTAGTTGTAAAAAAAATATCAAAAATCAACTGTTGGAGTTCTGGGGACGCTGTATAGAGGTATAGTGGTTCAGCGTTTGGCATACTGCCATAGGCTGTCCTACAGTACAGCCTCTAACAAAACTAGGCTTTCCCGAACCCCTGGTAATAGAATTGTTTATCTCTATACCAAGAAGGTTGGTGAAGCACCAAAATCTGCATGTGGTGTGTGCCCAGGATGACTTCAAGGGGTCCGTGCTGTGAGACCTAACGTTCTCATGAGGTTGTCCAAGACAAAGAAACATGTCAGCAGGGCCTGTGGTGGCTCCATGTGTGCTAAATATGTTTGTGACAGGATCAAGCATGTTTTCCTTATTGAGGAGCAGAAAATCGTTGTGAAAGTGTTGAAGGCACAAGCACAGAGTCAGAAAGAAAAATAAAAAATAATGGCGCTTTGTTGATTAATAAATAAAAAAAAATCGACTGTTGTAATAATTGCTATCAGGACTGACTGAGGGTTAGAAATGGAAAGGTAGATGTTTTGTAGCCAAAAGGAGGGGTGTGGTTGACTTTGCAGTCCAAGTGAGGAAGCCCCTGAGACCATCAAGGGAGAAGAGTGGAGAGCGGGACCCTACCCAGAGAAGCAGTGATGCCAGAGATGGAGGCAGAGATGACAATTTGGAGAGATGGAGTGGCTGGGGATTCTAGACCCAGGGAGGGAGAGGGGAATGTGTGCTGACCACTGAGGGGCAGGCTTGCAGGGTATACCCTTTGGTTGGTTGATGATGCATGGAGAGGGGATTGTAACCATGGCAAGGAAATGATATTCGATAGGATGAATGTAAAGCTAATGTTCTCCCATGGAAACTATCACATAATTCACAATAAAACATTAAAAAAAAAAATCAACTGTTGGTAACTCAACAGAGTGCACTATAACACACATGGTGTTTAGTGTTGGCTGAATGGTAACCTGTTAAACCACTTTGCATGTGGACATCTCTGTTCTTCTGTCCTGTCACTAGTCTTGTTAACCTGCTCATTGACTTAACCTTTTACAGCCATCCCGACCAGGTAGCTTTGACCTGGTGACTTTCAGAGTTAGCTAAAAAGTCTCTTTTGAATTTAAAACATTGTAAGATTTTTAAAGAATGCATTATCTCTCAGCCTAGCAAAGTAAGGCCCATACTTCAGACTCCCCATTCAGTGTGAGGAAAGGTGATTTGTCATTTGCACTGCTGCACAAATGGGAAATTGTCTATCTGGCACTATCTGTAAAGTATAACTCTTCTCTCTTGTTGAGTTCACTTTGTAGATTCCTAACCCACCTAAGTTTTTCAGTTGCAGATCTTGTTTGTTTGTTTTTTTCCCCTTCAATTTCTTTTTCAGACGATGAGGGGATGCTGAATATGAATATCTACAGACATCACAACCAAAAGCTTTATATGTTCTTGCATAGCTTTGCCTTTGTGATGCTCTTTTTATGTGCCAGGAGACTTCAGAAAGTTCATAGAAAAAATCCTTTGTATTTTAGTTCAATTTCCCATGAACTTTCAAAGTCTGATTGTACAGTAAGTAGTTCTTCAGAGATTATAAAAGGTATGTATTTTTAACATTGGTAGAAGAAAATGCAGAAATACATCAAGTAAAACATCCTCCCTGCCAAGCAGACCTTCCTATTCTAAAGAAGTGACAACTGCTCTCCCAGCCAATATTTATTAAGACTATAAGGAGCTCTGGTAGCGTAATGGTTACGAATTGGGCTGCGAACCTTAAGGTCAGTGGTTCGAAACTACCAGCCGCTCCGCAGGAGAAAGATGAGGCTTTCTACTCCCGTAAGGATTTACACCCTCGGAAACCCTGTACAGGGTCGCTATGGGTCGGACCCGACTCGATGGCACTTAACAACAACAACAACAACATGAACATTGTACTTTCTTACATGCCAAGTGGCCGTAAAAGTTATAAGCATAAGGAAGATAGAATTAGAGTCTGTTAATAAGGTGATAATATATTCTGTAACAGGAATATGCATACTCTTATGATTTATTTAGCTGTTTTGCTGTTGAAGGGTGTTCACATTGATGTGGGTTGTTGTTTTTTTTGTTTATTAGCCATCACCAAAAGTGATGCAGTGAAGATCTTTATATGTATATCCTAGTATAGATTAGCTTTTTTTTTTCTATTCCCCAAAGTGATTTTTGATTAAAGACTCTGTTTTCTCTGGTGATGGTTACTGGTAATTTACTTCTCTAGGATGGAAACTGCAGTTCACATTCCCACCAGCAGTATATGACAATGCATGTTCCCCTCAACTCTATCTGTATTGTATGTTGTGTGGTTTTCAGTTTTTGCCAAACTGTGGGGGGAAAAAAGCGATCTCTAGGTGATTTTACTTTCAATTTCCATGAATATTAATGATGGTGAGTAGCTCTTCTGTGTTTATTGTTAATTGGTTGTTGTTGTTAAGTGCTGTTGAGTTGGTTCTGACCCGTAGAGACCCTGTATATATTTTTTGAGGAGCACATGGTGGATTTGAACTGCCGCCCTTCTG